CAGTTCAAAGTAATTCATTTTAAAATTAAAAATTTTTAATTTAACATCTAGAAAATATTTATTATATTAATTTTTTTTTTCTATAATGGACCATTTGGTTTAGGAAAAAATGTCTGTTATAGACAATAATAATTTATATATTGGATATTGATATAGACATGTAAATTGGGCTTTCCATTATTATTATATCAATTATATATAGAGTGTGAACTGTGTCTTGTTCATTTTTTCAACTGCTTCATCTTCATTCCCAGGCATCATTATATGGCGTTTTCATTTTGTATATTTCAATTAATATTGGATAGTGAATGCATTGTTCAACAATGCAAATTTTCATAGTGAGATAAGAAAAATATTTATTTAATATATACCTTTTGATTTTGTATAGGGTTTCTTCTCTAATCTCCTTTCATAATGTAAATAAGGAATGATTGAAATTAAATTTTACTTTTAATAAGGGTTGGTTTGGAGATGTGTTATTGGGTGTAATTATCCCCGCAGATCCTTATTTAAAATCAATACAGATCTCTCATTTTCATCATCTTGTTTAATATTATTATATTATATCGGTTGGAAGTATTGTTGATATGCAAGTTAACTTAACACCATCTATTATATAATTAGAATTATTTATTTTTCATTTGATAATTAAAAATAACGTTAAAACCATTTTTTTGTGACGTAAACAAATTCTTTTCAAAATGTTTTCATACACTTTAGAACTTTATCCAAACTGTGGCTTAATTCATATTTCATTATTCATAAATGTCAAAAATTCAACAGAATTAAAAAAAAGATTATTATCTCATGATTCAGAATTAAGTTATGTTAGAGTGGTAAAAACTTAATCACAATCGTTTTTTTTTTACTTTATTTAATTTATATATGCATATGGTATTTACAATATGTACGAAACTTGTATAGTTTTTAAGGTACTTGATAAATTTCAATTATTAATAGCGATAAATGATGCTGTCCATTATGAAAATCTTGGATTATTAAAAACTCATAATGTTCATTCAGAAATCGTTTATAATCTTTCTCCAACTACAAATTTATATATATTTATATTAATTAGATAAGTGAATCATTAAGAAGATTGGGATCTCAGGTTCATCTGATACAATATTAATTAAAGCACATGCATACTTATTTTACACAAACAAAGATTTAATAAAATTATTCAATTTCTAATAATTAATAGTAATAGTAGTAAATAATTGTAATTAATTATGTAGATTGCTTCATTAGGTAAAATCTCACTTGTCAAAATTAATTGATGGAGAATAATCTTCATTAGAAGAGATTTCTAAATTTACAGATTTTAGTTATATTAAAAAGGTAAAAAAAACTTATCATTAAAACTTATAAATATATTTTATTAAATTAAACATTCCTTTATAATATTTTTTAGTATGATTACAATGAAATGCTCAATATTATAGTTAGTTCTATGGCAATAAAAAGTGTCATTTAATAATAATAATAGTTATAATTATAATAAATAAATAAACATTGTTATGAAAAAATAATTCAAACTAATTAATTAAAAATTTGCAATTGCCTATTTTTAATCAATTTCAACATCTACCAATCCTTCATTATGATGATGACCTGGACCACTAAATCCTCCTGTTGAATGAATAGAATGAATACGGTGTTGTTGTTCAATAAAAAATGTTGCAGATTGTGTTCTGGGTCGAACAAGTACTTGTTCAGCATTATTAAGATAAACTGTTTCAGAAAAAATATTAGATGAAAGACTTGCTATTCTAATAAGAGGAACAAGAAGATTTCCTGTTTTCAAAGGTACCAGTGTGATTGGAAACTCTTTTGTTTCTCCGACCTTATATTAAAATTATTAGTAATAATTTTTTTAATTAATATATTTGTCCCTTGTTGTTATTATTATTATTATTATTATTATTATTATTATTATTATTATTATTATTATTATTATTATTATTATTATTATTATTATATTACCTTTGATGTAAAACATAACTTTTTTTGACCAGCAAGTAACCAATTATCAAAATCAATATTAACATCATAAAAAAATTCAAGACTGTCTTTATGGTCAGTTGATGAAGCATAATTCCAATATGATGAATGTTTAACTATCAATCGACAATGACATGGTTCACCAACTAGCAAATCATGTGATTTGGATATAATTAATTCAACTGTATTGAGGACCTAAAAAATTTTTTAAATAATGATTTATATATCTATTATATATTTTTTAAAATATCATCAATCCCTTTGTTTTAAACCAAAATTAACAAGCTCTACCTTTGATGATGGTACATTGACTGGAAATGATATTGAAGATTTTAAATCTTTTGTTATTTCAAAAACTTCTTCATAATTTGTTTGATTGCAAGTCTGTTTTAAAAATAAATAAAAATCTTTAATAATAGAAGAAAAGTTATTTTTTATAAAAAAATTAAATTTATATATATACCATCCAAAATTCTTTAATAACGTCAATTAAATCCTCTTTATTATTTCCATGGTTACTAAATATTTTTTCACATAATTCAATATCCAAATCAACCAAATCTAAAGAATCTGTCATTCCATATGAAACAAAATCAATATATTTTAATAATAAATTTTTAGCATTATCAATAACAAATCGAGAATGTTGTAATAAATCCTTAGATTTTAAAATTTTATTTAAAATATATTCAGCATATTTCTCAATCTCTATAAAATAAATCCAAAAAAAAGTTTTGATTAATGAATGAAATTAATTTGAATACTAATAATTATTGTAAAAATAAAAAATAAAAACTCATTTTTACCATCTTGAAGTGATTTATAAGTGACAACAAAATGAACTTGTGTACTTGCGGTTTTTGTATGTTCTTTATGATCAAACTCTTTTTTAATAATAATGATAATAGCAATTAATAATTAAAAAATAAAATAAAATAAAATCATGTCGTTAAAAGACATTAATTAATTGACTTGCCTTGTGATCTCATTAATTTGTAGACAAATGATGCATGTTGTTTCGAAAATAATATCTGTTGATTTATAATAATTAATTATTTGCTTATAACCAGGAAAATATTCTATGAAAGATTGAGAGTATAAAAAATTGGTTTGTTTACCATAGAAGAAGATTCCAAAGCTGGATCATCTATTACATCATAAACTTTGGAAGATACTAATTTTGTATCAAGAATTCTAATAGGTAATGTACCATTTAATGTAATATCCATCTTTAAAAATAGACTTTAAATGTATATATTTTAAAATAAAATAAAATCAATAAAAATTCCAATTAATTTCAATGAATAAACAAATATAATATAATATAATATAATATATATATAATAATATACATACCAATCATCTCTAAATATATTTAATTCAGTTACTGATAATGGCAACCAAACTTTAACAGTATCTACAGATGTAAATGCTCTTGGTTTCCCTCTACTTTCATACTCTATAGAGATTTTAACCTGATTTTTTCTTGCGTGTAAGTGAAAGTAGAAATATATAAATATATATTATAATGAATAAATATATATACAGACTTTATGTTCTATAGCAGCTCCCCAACTACAATCATATGGTACTCTAAATTCTATTAATTGATTTGGTGGTGATGATGGTAATATGATTTCACCTTTTTCAGTAACAATCAAATCTACTTCTTCCAATGTTTCATTTAATATTTCATCATCATCTATATAATAATAATTATTTTTAAAGGAAATAAATAAATAAATAAATCTTTGATATATACACATACACATATAACTTACTTTTTACAGATTTAATTAATGCATGATATTTTTCATGAGTTGGAAATGATAAACCTTCAGAAACAGGTTCTAATGTTAAATTTCCTTCAGTTACACTGGTCAGTCCAGTATAAATTTTTACAGCAAAACATTGCTGTTCTCCAATATGAACTAATAAAATATACAATATAAATAATCTTGTAATAATATTATCACCAGATTCATTATTGTCAACATTGCTATTATTATTATTACTTACTTTCGTTAGGTGCTATAATCTGTGCTCTTAGTACTGCAGGATGCTCATTGATTCTAAATGATTTTTTACTTTCATTTAAAAAGTTGTGTGTGAAAATAATTTTTCCCATAAACATACAAACATTTTCAATAAAATAGCTTCCTGATGCACTATTCTAATATTTGAATAAATAAATAAATAAAATAATGTCAAGTAGATATTATATATTAATATAGATATATGGATGTGTGGCATATATATATTACTTGATAATTTAATAATCCCAATCATAAATAATATTTGTAAATATATTCTTTTACTTACATCAGAATATAATTTATATTTATTTTGTCCCGGACTTAAATCTTGATCCAAAACTACAAACCAAATTTCTTCACTTTGTCCACTCACTAATCTAACTGCCAATTTATCAAATGTAAATGGCTATATAAATAGAAATAATAATAATAATAATATATGTGTATATATTTAATTAATTAAAAAACTAAAGATAATAAAATAAAAAAACCCTAATTCATTATCATTAAAAAATTTAAATTTAAATAACTGTTTGTAAATGATTTGTTAATTCAACAAATAAATAAGGAGAATCCTCATCTGTTATATCATCAACTATTGTTGTAACAGATACAGTAAACATTGTTTTAAATGCTCGTGTAATTTCTAAACAAAAAACAAAAAAAAATATTTGTTTTGAGAAAAAGATGGAATAAGTATATGTACATATATATTTTAATAATCTGTACATACCTTTGCCTTCTTCAATTGAATTAGAAAATTGTTTCACTTCATTTGCATAAAAATTTGCTTCATCTTGTGTTAGTAGCGTATGATTCTTTAACAAGGTTAAACATGATAATACATAAGTGTTATATTATATTTATAAAATTAGTCAAGGAATTTATTAAATGATTTTTGTATGTGCAATATTGACTATTAGTAAAGTAGAATAAGAGAAAAAACTTAAGGATATTTTCTAATTTGATTTAATTCTTTTTGACAAGCAGCATAATTCACCAAAAGTGTATTTTCAACAAGAGTCCAACCTTGTTCATTATATCTCCAAGGAAGATCCTCCATCAGTTTTACAGCACTATCGTAATTTTTTCGATGACTAAAAAAAATTGAAAAAATGAATATAGAAAGATTTTTCCTTAATAGGAATAATATGTGTAGTATAATAAATAGTTCTTACAATTGTAATGCTGCAACATCTGCTTGTAAACGTAATGAACTACGAAGCCTTGTACTTCCCTCGTATGCTTTTAATGCTCTATTTGTCAAAGACTATTTATATCATATCATAATAGTATAAACATTGATCTGAATAAATTAATATAAAACATTACAAATATACAAATATGCAAATATATATATATATGTATGTATATATATATATGGTGTGTTTGTATTTTAATATAATATGAAAAATGCATTATCCAAATGACTTACCAAATATAATAAATCAAAATCACTAATTGAAGCAATAGCCTTTTGTAATTCATAATTTGTAATAGTGAATATTTTTTTCTCGTTTTCCGAATCAGGAGAGGCGGGAGGAGTAACATCTCCTAAAGAAGTTGTAAATGGAACAATAGAAGGCAAATGTCCATGACGAAGCCCTAATTTATCCAGCTATAGTATAATAGTAAAAATAATAATAAATGATAATTGTAATGAATATAAATATGAATAAATAAAAAAATTACTTGTTTCCTAGCCAAATCTAAAAGTTCTCCTTTGGCAGCATTAAATGATTTAAATGCAAGATCATCCAATGGAGTTAATGGCGCCAATTCTTCACACTCATTGACAACACTCATACAAGAAGAAAAAATCCACGATTCCAAAAATTGTTCGCCAATATTAGCTTGATGTTCTCTTATTGCTCTTGCAAAAGTAGAAATAAATAATTGGGCCCTTCTACATATATCAACTGGTCTTTGTAGTCTGCCTAGCAATTGACATTGTCTAGCAAAAAGATAACATCTAAAATCAAATTCAGGAATCGTATTTTGCATAATAAGATCACGATATTGTTTTTTTTTAACATCTAAAATATTGGCACTATCATCTTCAGGTTCTGTTGCACCAAAACTACCAAACCATGCAAGTGCCCTATCTAATCAAAGCAAATAAATAAATTTTTAAATATAATGATATAAAAATAATAAATACATTGTACATATGTATATATGTATACCTTTTAGAACTTGAAAAAAGGAAGCTTCTAACTCATCATATTGTACTAAAGCTTCTTCACACAAATTCATTATTTCAAATGTCAATGCCAATCCTTCCTAAAAACAAAATAATTACTCAAAAATTCAAAGCCCTAAACACATCTTCTGATTTCGTAATGTTTTAATTTATTACCTTTAAAATAAAAAATCTACAATAATTCCAGCCAATCATACTTCTTTGAGAGTCAAACCGGCGTATATCTTCTTCATATTGAACTACATGTTGATCAAAACTACTTAGTATGCCTTCTTTTATTTTTGAAATTATATCATGCCAAGATTCATAATCATCATTGTCATTTCCAGATAATCGAAGTTGAACACATCTGAATAGATATTTAGTGTAAAATGTAAATGAGGATTATTATACTGTATATAAATAACACCTCGTGTGTGTGTATATATATATACCTCTCACGTTTAGAAGCATTAAAGTCAGCCTTAATCTTGTCAAATACAGTTCCTTGCATTCTAAAATATCTGGCAGCATTTTTGATTGTTTCATTATTAGTAACATAAACTATCAACCATTCTTGATTTCTTTTTGATGTAACAAGATTTAACCAATCTCTAATTTTAGTCCTGACAGATTGTCTATAGGTTTCATTATCCTTACATAATATATAAATTGTATTTTATTAGAAAAACAATTGGTTCAATTTCAAATTTAAATTCAAAAAAAATTTTATGTATATTTACATCACAGTTAACAAAATATAAATTAAGATATGGTTTCTCAAGCAATGTCTCGGGCATCATGTGTTGTTTTTCTGTAGTTTCAGGAGTAAAACGTTTTAATTCGATGTTAAGAGTCTGGATATTGCGTGTTGCACCTTTTGCCGACTTCCAATTTAAGTTACGAAGTGGAAGGTGAGTTCGAAATTCATTGGCAACGTTTTTCCAAATGTCATATTCATCCGTATCTTTTTTTTGAGAATAATTTAATTGATTAACAGTCAAAAATGAAGCCAATGCATACTAATAGAAATATTTTTCTTACAAGTAATTGTGACCTTTTTGCCATCCATTTTGAAAATTGATGGAATTTGATGTGGTACGAACTTAAATCGTTACAGATAAATATAAATAAAAAATTTGACGTCGTTATCACATGATAAAAAGTTCATTCACTTTGTGATCTTCAGACCTTTCTTTACATTCTACTTTTCCAAAAACCTTATATGTTTTTTGGATTCTGGGACCTCAAATAGAAGTTTCCAAGGTCCTCTCATAGGTTTGACGCAACAACAAAAAAATTCCATGAAATATTTTCTTCATTGTTCAATTGGGATATAACAGTGTCAAAAAATTGGGGATAGGGATATACTCAATTGGAGGTAAAGTTATTTATTTATTATATATTAAATATACGTATGGAATCTGTCACAGTTCATTTATAGGATCTAATTGAGGCTGGGATATAAATAAGAGGATATAAAAGAGGTATGGCTGTACCAAATATGGTGGTATTTTGATATTTTTAAATGAATAAATAAAAAAATTGATTTCATGTGACAGGAAAGTAGCATATTTTGATATTAGTTTCTATTACTGTAAAAAATAAACAGTCATAATAAAGATTTTGTAAATTCTATATTAAAGAATCCTTAGGTTAGGGTTGCTAGAAAGTTTTGGCAGAATGACATATGCGAAACTGCCGAAATTATAGATGACTTGGTATAACTGCTAGTAAGCTTCTCGACTAAATTTTTTTTGATCAACTAATTTAATATTAATATTCAAATAAAATAGTTTACTATTTTAATTGATTATTTAGTCTATATATTCATAATACAAATATTTAAATTCATAATAATAACGAATAAAACAAATATTTCGAATAAACCTTATTCGAATAGAAACATAGTATTAGTATTGGCATTTTTGCAGTTTCGTCATTTCAGCACTATGTAGGAAGTTTTACCTTTCGTCATCAAGCTAAACGGGCTTCAGCAGGCAACCTTACCCTAAGGACTTATAAAAACTAAGGATCCTATAGCATTTTATGGGATCCTTAAGCTTAAAACATTACTGATGTCAGTACGTCCAGGAATTAATTCAATGCTTTATAATAACCACAGATTACTAAATACAATAGTAATGCTATTTTTATTTTGTCCACCAGCAATTATCGCAAGTAATCTTTAAATGTTTTCCGCCTTTATTTAATTTTTTAATTCCATACCAAGTATACAATTTCATCTTCTTCAAGAACATAATAATTTGTTCCCTTACTGCTTCGTCTTGAGTACCCAATAAATAGACTTTGCGTGAACTAATAAGGTCCAATATTATATGTATTAATTTCATTATTATTATTGAGATTTTACCAATCATTATAAAATTCAAGCCCATGAAGTTATAAATACCCAGAAAATAGCAAATATTATTCTGTTTTGGTAATATTGAGTATTGGTTAGGGTTTTTATTCAAATAAGGTTTATTAGAATAAAACAAATAATTGAATAAAATTCAAATAAAAAAAATAACTCGAATAAAGCATAATAATAATAGTAATAGGGAATTGTTATTCGCACCCCTCCCGTGACTAAGTGTAGTAATGTGACCAATGAATGCCTTTAAAATGTGATGAT